TACAAAGTAGGTATCAATTTAATATAACAGAATATAATGCATAAAAATGAAAAGAAAATTAATTTGTAAATTGTATGGGTAGTGTACTAACATGCAGTTGTTAATTATTATTACTGTTATATTATTCTATAAAATACAAAAACCTATGTAGAACGTAGGTACTTATTAGGAATAGATATACAGTATACTTTTTTTAATTTATTTTAAATTTCGTTAAGACAAAATAAATGTTAGTTATAGTATTCTATTATAACAAAAAAAAAAAAATTATATTTCATATGTTTAAGTTTATAAAAAGTTGTAAAATTTATTTATTACAACACTGTAAATTTGGATGAAATTTTGAAAAGCAATGAATTTTATTTTTTAAACACTTACATCTGTTATTTTGACATCTTGTTGAACATGAACATTTAATAAAGCCTTGTTTAGATCCAGTTGCCTCTTGAGTGGCAATAGACCGTAAACCCAATTCTTTTTCGTGGTTTACTTCCTCAAAAGCCACAAAATTTTGTTGATGGATTGTAAATTGGGATCTGGCATACAATTTGATTTGAAAATTCACGACCGTTGTCGGATTGTAATATCTACTTGGTGCTCCAAGTAAAGTGAAAATATCAATTACATTATAAGCCACTTTTTGTCTTTAATGGTTTTATGACGACAAATTTAGTTAAATAGTCCTGATATACCATTAAAATTTTTAAAAGTTTATCAGCATTTAAACTATTAAATACACTAGAAATAATGGGTTTCACTACTAATCCTTTTTACATTTTTTTGTATTTAATTGACATTTTAGTCTTCGATTTAACAATTAACACTATCGACATCTTTAATTAATTGATAATATCGCTCATCAGTTAAAAACACACTATTTTTCAAGTCACATTGACGCTTCAATAACTCGGCATTAAAATTGTAATACTTGTAATTTGAATTCTCCAAACTTAAAAGAGTAAAGACATTATTATTTAGTGTTATTATATTATTTATATTATATTATAGTAGTTGTCCCGCCCGACGTTGTCCAGGCCAAAGATTTGTATTTTTAATAAATATATTTGTACAAAATGTATATATACCATATTTTATCTAATTATAATATTAGTATAATATGTAACGAATTCAACCATTTAGATGGACGAAAAAAAATTTCTTTTTTCGTATGCTAAAAAAAAATCATGTGTGAGCTACCCTTCACCTATCTACAGCCTATATGAGTTGAAAAATCCAGCTATATACACACTCCAAGTTTCAAGTAATAATCTATTTAAATAACTTTTATTGTACACGGTCAGTTTTTGAGGCTATTAACTTCGGATAAAACAAAAATCCAATTTTACTTGTACCTATAACCCGGTTTCGCCCGACAAAAAATAAAAAAATACAAAATTTAGATTATACTATAAGTGTTTTTTGGTACCTCAGTTCACAGATAAATTTGGGTAGCTGCTTTGAGAACTAAATCTACCAAGATGGACAATTTACTTGTGGTGGATTGGGTAGGTATACCACTTGGTATAAATCGAACTTGGTTCAAACTATTCTTTAAACTTTCCTGATATCTCTTAGAACAATTTGAAATTTTCACAAAGTCGGTTAAGTAGTTTTTGAGAACTTATATAATAACTAAAAATATACATTCAACTCTCATATTTGTTTTAAGATATAATTTCTTTATTCGAAATCATATAAGCGTGCGACGCTTTGATGGATCCTTTTACCTCATCTGCCAGAGTAACTAATGCGGAATGTCAAACATTTAAAATACTAGTTTTTATTAATTACTATCGTGAATCTCAATGTCCCTGTTTCAGCACCTATTTAAAATGCGAATTTTGGCAAATCCTTTCTTAGCGCACGTCTATATTATAATAGCTATCTGTATGCCAAATTTCAGCCAGATCCGTCCAATGGTTTGAGCTGTGCGTTGATAGCAGTCAATCAGCTTACTGTTTTTTATATACAGATATGGTTGCCATGGTAATATGGACCCACACACACACACACACACACACACACACACTGACATACATTCATTTTTATATATATAGATTGATATGAAATCTTGGTAACCTTAGTAACCATGGCAACCTTGGTAACCATGGTAACATGGACACACAGACACACAGACATACATTCATTTTTATATATATAGATTATTTCTCCGATAACCAATAACAACCATTTATAAACAAAAATGTCTATCGTAAATCTCAAAATACCTGTTTAAGCACCTCTCTGGGTTGAGCCGACTGGATCTTATTGTGAATCTAAACCATTCAGGGACTCTCTCAAAAACACACAAAAAAATAAAAAAATGTCCAGTGGCTTAGGAGGACATCGCAATGACATACAGACAAACATTTATTTTTATATATATATAGTCATATAGAAATAGATTGTTATTATTTTCGGCCAGCCAATTAATTTTACCAAGGAAAATTATTATACATTAAAACTTTCCCCGTGACTCGACCGATTTATTAGTAAAAACCGTATTAAAATAAGTAGAGTTCTTTTCCAGATATGCTCGTACATACAAAAAATTGGCTTCAATTTTATAATATATATTATCTTAATTGTTAAAATATTAAAATATTATTATATTACACATTATAGTAGGAATATCGTATATGAGATCTTGGCCCCCCCCCCAAAACCGGGGCCTCTGTGAATTGCACACCCAACACTCCCGATAATTGCGCCACTGGTGAAGGTACATTGTCAAATATCAATAGGTACTGATAATATGGATTTAATATATTACCTATACATTGTTTGGCATTTCATATAATGCTTAGGTAATTTAAACAATTTTATAGATTGTCAGGCTGTAGTTGGTGTTATATGTATAGAATTCTTAGACATTTTGTAAAATACCTATATTATACACATTGCCGCTAACATATACACTCCAGTCTCGAAGATTCGAATTTTCGGGAACTAATTCAAATAAATCTGTTTTTCGTGTACCTATATTTTAAGTTCAACACATAAGTACAACATTGGATTTTATTTTACATGAGTTACAAGCTTTTCTAAATTTTTTATTGTTGTTTTAATATGTTATGATAAAAAGTAAATAGTACAAACAATATAATGTCAACTGCAGCTAAGTCGTTGTACAAACGAAATTACTTTTTTTTTCCGAACAACAGTAATAACGAAAATGTTAAAATTTTTAAATATAAAAATATTGATATAGCTTGATAATTATATATGCTATCTAACTCATTTGTATTTCAATAGCTAAAACATAATACACTGCTATTGCAATAATAATGAAAATAATAATAATAATAGTAATAATATTTTTGACTTTTTGATAGCATGAATGTCAGCGCTTACAATTTACAAACAGTATTATGTTTTTATTTTTTTTTCACCATTCATATCGTCCGTTCATATTGACTTAATTTCAATGGGGAAACAAGTTAAACAAATCCTACTGTCATTCTATCGTTGCTTCAGTGCAGTATTCTGATAACACGATTATAAATAGGATTATTATTACAACAAATTAGGTACCTATTATAAGACTATTTTATACCAAAAAATGAAAATTCGATAAAATATAACACATAGCTCACTGGATTTTTAGTCAAAGTATATTGAGCCTGGGAAATGTGGTTTTTAGATAGTCGATTTCACATTGTTCAAAACGGTGCATACTAATAATTGAGTTCCCATGATACCTGCTTGAACAAGAATAAACATAATATAGGTACTAATTGAGTACCTGTAGAAAAGAAAAGTATACTAATTTATTGATAATATCATCACTGATAAATACTGCATTGTACATTGCCACCAAACATAATCAAAAGAAATTATATCATAACATTCAAACTAAAGAAAACGAAGTTAGAGAAAAAATGCAGCTAGGTATTACATAAAAAATAAAATCAAGAGTTGAATACATAAGAAGTTTACTGAAGTTTTTACCGATATAAGGCACTACATTTGTTTATTTATTCTTTTAAACAACTCAATAAGACAATATATTACATACATTTATAAAATATTTTCAAATTAACATAAAAAAAATCATTTTAATTGTACCTGTACAATAACCAATTTAAGTTTGTAAAAATGGGAAAGAAAATGTTTTTCTCACAGAGTTTGACGGGACTCAGTATTATAACATTGACTCAATTAGTAGGTACATACCAAAGAAAAAACACAATTCATTCTAAAAGGATTCATTGGGAGTAGGTTCTTATGCAGCTGCTATTTAGAGTAGGTATGTGGGTACTCGAATTTCCTAATATGCAATTAACATAATATAAACCGAAATGATTATGCAATAAATTCATATGCATGTGATGTTAATGTATCATCATATCCATTATTTTGTATAATATTATTATTATAACCATTGTTGACGGTTCTAGGATATTTACCTCACGGTAGGTAGGTATGATATGATTCTCTGTACAGAACAAAATATAAAATACAAGTATGTTAATTAAATACTACATGATAATAGTATAGTTATATACGTGTAAGTATTTTTTAGTCAAATATTGAAATATATTATTTATTGATGAAATCATAAATATCTAGTAAGTATGAATATTAATAGTTGGTCCATTATTATATACTATAATATAGGAACTTTTTATTATATATATTTACTTAAAATGTTGACTTCATCATGATCAACCTCTAACTGTATCACATAGGGTACTCGTAGGTATAGGTTCAGTAAGAATTTTTAACCTTTAATCTTTACTAAAAATCCTGTGCGTCATGAGATTGAACGATATGGTAATATATGAGTGAAATGTCCAACAAAAATCTTTCTATACCTACTATATTAATTTATGGGGACTTTTCACGAGAATTTGAAATCTTTATTATTTCAACTCTAAAACCCATATTTAATCTTCGTACCTACAATTTCTTTGTATAATTTCTCGGGGGAGAAATATCCCCTACACCCACACGAGGGGGTGGATATTTGTATCCTCAAAATGTGCATATATTATACCCTATCTACCCGCATATATTATTCCACCGTACATTCCGACGCGCCAAGCGACGTGATCATGACTTATCGCAATGTGTATTATTATAATATATAATATTATGGTGTCTCGCGTGCCGCCTACTTTGTTGTAGTTGTACGTGTAGTTGGTCTTGAACGTATGGTTGGCCGGATTCCACGTGCTCCTGTGTTTGCCCCTGTCCGAACCCGAACTCTTCCCGTGCAAGCTCACGGTACCACCACCTCGGCCGTCCTCGTAGATCAGTGGCGTTCCGATACCGCTACCGTTGTTGGTCGTCGTCGCGTTGTCGCTGGCCGTTGCCATTTCCGTGGTTGCCTGCACCGCGTCCAACTCGGTCTGACCGCCACCGCCGATCATCATCTCGTCGTACATGTCGGGCAACATCGACTCGTTGTCCATGAAGTCAAACGGCGTGGTGGCCACCGTGGTCGACGTGGAAGTGTAGTTGATTAATGGCGGCTTAAGACCGGTGGGCGGCGGTCCGGGACGCAGCACGAAGCACACCATGGATATGGAAAAGTAAAACGCAAACAAGATGAACTGCCTGTAGAACCTATAAACGAAAATATCGATTTTAATTCGCATATTCGTCAGTCACTCTCGACAGACATGTTTCTGCAATCGGCTGTGGAAAGATATACTGTAGTCTTTTAATATTTTTTTCTCGCTGATAAGTCATACATTTTATAACTTATCTTTTACATAATGATCTATTCTAGTGGTGGTTTTTTCAGCGGATATTTCAAAATAATGGGGAAAAACTGAAAAAAAAATACGGCCAACACTCAACAGTATTATTTACGCAATTTAAGTTTTATTCTTTTAATCATTGGATTAATTTAGAAAAGCATAACAGAGTTAGATTTTCTCCAAATATTCTATACACATATTTATTTCTATATTATTATATTGATATGTGTACTTATTTATATAAGTATTTTATAGATATGATAAAATTTTCAAAATAATTTGGATTTTTAGAGCTATTTATAGACACTAAGAATTATTATTTTTATTTATATTAAAGTCATAAATATTAAAAAATGCAATCCTGCAAGGTTTCACATAATTTTATCAAGAAACAGCTAAACAGTTTCAAATTTCAGTCACAATTTTCTTTAAAAAAAAAACAAAATGTAAAAAAAAATTGTACAGCTTAAAAATCATAATATTTTTAATTTTATTACCCAAGGTTGAAAATTTAACACAAAACTCTTCAGAAGTTGTTTTAAGTAGAATTAAAAAAAAAACTCACTATATAAAGTTATATTAATTTATTATGAGTGTTTGAATTTAAAATTTAACAACATTCAATTATCAGATGTAAAATATATAATATCTAAGACGTAGGTATATATATATTTTTTGTAATACGTAAATCATAATATATCAATGATTTATACGGATATAGCAACTTGAAACATTTATGTATTGTTTAAGTTATCATTTTCTATATACAACGAAAATTACAAAACATTTGGATTTTGAACTAAAAATACTGACGATCATTAAGAGATAACTAAGCCTTAACAGTGCTCGCAGAGTAAACGAGACAAAGACCCTGCTGTGAATTTGGATTTGGCGCAATCAATTCGGACACACTCCCCCGCGGTCTTCTAAACAGTATTCGGGATAGGTCATACAAATTCAGTTAAGCCATTAAAATACAATTTGTCTCTTGATAATATCACTTTGCTTATATTCGAACGCTCAACACGCAAACGTAAATAATATTATTAATATATTATGTGTGCACCACCGTTTTTTCATTTCAAGCTCAATCCCGTGCGATCGTCGAACTGCTATTTTGCTTACCTATTTTAATAATGGTCTAATAATGGTCTACAGATAAATATATTAAACGCTCAACGCACTATACATTAATCCACGTGAATATGCGTAATTCATAGTAAGTAATATATATATATTCGAGACACTCGTATTTTGTTGGAACGCATTGCAGTCGGCAATTGGAGATTCATGTATATAATATAGTCGCTGTAAATTGGGTTGTGTGTATGTGGAAGGGGGGCAGTGTGTGAACAACATGGTCTCGAGGCTACATATAGCTGAAAAACGTTGAATATTTATATTTCATGTTTTTTTTTGTTGTCTTATTATTTTCATTGATTTATATGGCTCACGGGACCCGTCTGTCTGTCGCACCGACGACACGCGATCGAAACGAACAATACGAAGACGTGCACGAGTATAGGACGAATATTATGTATTATGTATGCTTACATACAGCGTAGGACATATATATATATATATTACAAGAGGTCTCGGGACCAAAATTTTTTTCTCAGAAGACGAAGCGGTTACAAGCGTAAAGGTTTTTCAACGACAAGTATAGGACCGATGATGGCTATACATGGTGGGGTATGACGATGATGATGATGTCCGAGTACAAATGGGTATTATATTATTGATTGCGCACGAGAGGTTTGCATTCGGGCAAGCATTATTTACACGATATCCTCGCCCACCTTCGGACCTGCAAAATATCTTTTTCGGCTTTACATTTGAATGCGCAGCAGCTGTAATGTAAACGTTTGTACCGAACGTTATTCAATCCGCATGATAATATTATACACGTAGGTACGCTCGCTCGCGGACAAATGAGAATTCGAAAGTCATTCGCTATCGACCGTCACGGTAACCACGTATTCTACATTTCTACAATAATAGTCTACATGTATATGTGTGCATGTGCATATGTTTTATTGTACCGCGTTTGGTAATTGTATCAAACGACCGCGTACGAGCAATCAGCTTTGCGTCCGAACAAAATGAGCGTATACCGCGGTTTGGAGCAACGCGTTTATATTATATGATGCGTGTATACCACGGTTGTAATCAGACGCCCGCGATGAATCGCGAGTCGGGCCAGTTCGGTCGGAATGGCGAGCACGTTCCTACATTTATCACCCGAATGTGCATAGTTTTAAAGAACCGGAAATAAAAAAAAACCGAACTCAAGAGTTCCGGTCGTAGTACAGCTGCAGCCCGGAACTTTAATGAAACTTTTGAAGCGGCCAAAGGGACGGCAGAGAGAAAACGTTTATATTATAATGACTACATTACCATGTTCACTTATATATGCTATAAATTATATATACAGCGTGCAAGGAGAGACATCGTGAGATCGATCGATAAAAATTCTCAAAATAATAGCATGAACGTATATAATATTATAATAATATGTTTCGAAAGTATATTATGGTACCTACTGCAGTAGGTTTAGAATAAAAGGCACATTACATACATTTTTGTACCGATAAATTTAGTTGTGTTTCATTATTTGAACAGTAATTAAATGGACACAAGATAAGTTGATATTTTTTTAGTAAAACAGTTTAACGAGTCTAGTTATGTGTTATAATTAGTTAATTCAAATTAATTTTTTTTGAATTTTTAAGACAAATTAAGCCTTAAGGACTTTATTTTAAAAAAGTATTTTTTTCCCATTAAAGAAATGTACTGTGGTAATACAAACTTATTTTATTAAAGAGAACCAATTTATTTTGATTTTTTTTTGAAAATGTTGATGATATTTCTTAATCAACATTTGAACAAGTAGTAATTACATATTAAGTTATTTACTAAGGATAAAATTCTTTAATAATTGTTTTATATAAAATATAAAATTATGTAGTTCTTACTTTGTTTAGTAACTCCAGATAACTTTTATAAATAATGAAATGGTTATTGATTTATATAAATTACTAACATTTTCAAACCATTATAGCCGACATAATATTATCTTCTTATCCTATAAATACGAGAGTGTTACACAAAGCTAAAGAATGAAAAAAAATGGCATTAACATTTTGATTAAGATAGGTACATCAGTGTTTTTAAGAAAATCAACTGCTTACTTCATCTTTTAAGTATAGTAAAAAAGTGGTTTTAATTTGAAAAAATAAGTTTCTCGTTGCCACATTATAAGACTTAAATGGTAAAATATATAAGTATTTGAAAATATAGTTCATGTATAGATACTATACTATTGCAAAAACATGAATCTGAATAAAATCACAACTAAAAGCAAAAATGGCGTATAAGTCATTGAAACAACCCGTATTTATGTAAGTAAATTAGGTACCTATAATGTATATTATTATATTTGTACTTGAAATCTTACTAGTACATTTCTTTAATAATAAATTCTTATTTTGATGTTTGTTCTTGTCGATTACTCGTTGCAGACGTGCCTACTAATAAAGTGATTTTTTTTTTTGACATTGTTTTATTTATATTGTACGGATTAGGATTCTATGAATATTATTATCATAATAAGTAATACAAAACATTGTCGCATACCCTATAGATAACTATATATTTTTATCGTAGCTGCGTAATATATTATAATATGTTCGAACTCGTGTGAAATATAATCATATCATGTCATAATATTATATCGCAATAAATATATATTTTTATTTTATCACGAAATATTGGCTCTAAACTCTGGTAGTGTCGGGCCACATTTGCGATTTGAACGTTTCTAAACCCTAAGTGTGCATCGTGAGGATTTGAGGACATGGTTTCGGATCTAAATCTTCGTGACACACACACACACACAGTATTTTGCAATATGCAAATCGTCTAATATATATTGTAAATTTTAATACACACTATATGTAGTGTGCTCACTAGCACAGTAACGCCGCTGGGGAAAATAAATTTCACTAGGTTTTTGAGCCGATATTTTGCTTAAACTTGTGTCCGTTTCATTCACCAATACAGGCGATCGCACATTATTATTAATAATAATAATAATAATAATAATAATCATAATAATAATAATAAAAGTGCGTAAACACGAATCACGTTTTGTTTGTTCTACGACGAGTGAAACGTGACCGCAATACTTTTGTCCACGATTTATTATATTATAAGGCTGGGAGGTGCCCGCACTGGCGGCTTACCGGAATTTCACGAAAGCGTTCCATTTGGCATTTAGCAGATCCACCAACACACCGTCCATCATCTCCAAGTGTTCCGGACTTTCCTTTAAAACACAACCGAAACGTTAATGTTTTTGATGAACCACTAACGGTGGCCGTATAATATATTATTATTTAGACATTAAATTATTTTGTAGAGTGTTTTTTTTACATAATAATCTAAATATTATTACATAATATAATAAATTATAACGGTACGTCTCGACTTCTGCTAACCATCTTAATCTTAATTTTTATCTTAATTTGATATAATATATAATATATGTATATTATAATCTGTCGACTTACTCCAAATACGACCAAATTGAGTGCCGAGTTTCTGCTGATCTGCCCCGTGTCATTGTCGATGGTGTCAATTTGAGTTAGGGGGTACGCGGCACAAGTGATACTGCCTAAACATAACGTAAGGCGTTGTATTATTGTTGGAAAATCACAAGGAAGCATCAAACAATCAAATATACCCAAATAACTGGTGACTGGTGTAATTTAGTATACTTAGGTCTACCAGTAATAATAGGATTCTTTGGATGTAATTTAAAACATAATATGCCACCTGGCACCTATACACTCTAGGACTTGTTGGATTTAAAATTTTAACGTGACACAGCATAACATGTCATTTAAAATATTCAAATCTTACACGTGAGAATACAATATTGAAAAATAATAAATGTAAACATATTATTCTAATGAGGTGGTATTCCATAACTTCAATCGTCGGCCAGAGGGATATTACTTAAGACCACGAATTTTTGAATATTACTTGACTATTTTCTTACGATTCTTGGTAATTTAAAATCAGTATGACCGAAAACAAGGAAATTGAAAATTAATATATAATAATAATATTATATTACATGAACAGTAGCACAGTGTTATAAATCAAGTCAGTTAGACAATAATTCAAAAAGTAATATTTTATTCTACGCAGTAATGTACCTATATTGCCTATATATTGCGCCGGATTACAGAATATTGTAAAAAATTAAAGAGCACTAGACCTGTTACAGGTAGCTACAGTAGTTTTGAATACTAATACTTATTTATTATTATTTATTAGATAAAAATGTACTTATATATTATTTAAGTTATTCAAATATCTGGTGATAATTTTAAGTGTCAAGATAATAATTTTCGAATAAATAATTTATAATATATTATTTTATAAATTAATTAATCAAAATCAATTTTGTAAAAATGCTTATCGTATTATATTTTTACACCTATGAAAACTACTGTGGAAATACTTTTAATAATATTATAATGTAAAATTAAGTATAAACAGACTGAAATAATTCTAAATCAAATAATTATTTTATATTTTATAGCATAAATATGGGTATTCATTAAAATACCACTGAATAGAGCTTTGTCACAGTTTTAAATTAAGATCGAAAAACTAAATAAATGTGTAAAAAAAGGTGATTTTTAGTAATCGAGTCAGAATTCACTCATCTTTCAGTGAAAGCGAAAGTGATAGTGAAAGTGCACCTATACTGTATAATAATGTGTGTTCGTGGAGTTTAGCCAGAGTTTTCTATATCGCCCTGTATATACCCAATACCCATGTATTTATGCAAAACGTACATGCTATATGCTATACAACGCATATACATATACACTACGGCACTACGCATACATAAATTATTATCTAACTACGCGTGTATGTGTGTATATTATAATATTATAGATAAATATATATTTGTGTGATGTAATACGCGGGTGCTGTGGTCCGTGCAAGCGATTATAGTTGGTTTTACCGATTTGCCAATAAATTTCCCGTTCGATTTTGAGTATGTGAAAGAACATTTGGATCCGGGCCAGTTTCGCGGCCAGCGTGAGTGGCGTCAAATTTTGCACGTTCCTAATGTTGAGTTCCGCCCCGATTTCGTAGGCCATGTCGAACGTCGACTGACGGAAACACACAAACAAACATATAATATTATTATTATTGAATGCCATTCGCCGGTCGTTTATGAGTTATAAATTATAATAATATATTTTATTATAGAACAATCGTAATGTCTGGATTAAAACAGGGAGATGCATTGTCTCCTATACGTTTTAACCTGGCGATTTAAAAAGTTATATATATATATATTATTATATCAGTTAATTATGAATTGGACAGGAATTATAACAATGTTGTGCTTACGTACGCAGATGACATAATAATATTAAGAGATACCAAAAACAACATACCTAGTTATAATACCATAAGCAAAATATATTAAAGTCTAGCCACCGAATAGGCCTTTTGTCAACGAAAATAATACTGAATACCTAGCAATGATTATAGCTAGATATATTGTGGTGAACGAGGCACCTCAAAAGTAGACCCTATGAGATTAATACCTAGGAACCAATATAGTAAATATAGGTATCAATATCATTATCAATATAATGAAATGAAATTAAGAACAAGTGCTACAGACTTATTCTATTTTACCATAGACCAGATGTTCAGTCCTAGGTGACTGCCCGGAGCAACAAAAGAGAAACCACTCACTTGTTTTCTGAAATATGAAGCTGACTTTTAGCATTTTATTTTTTAAACGTAAAAAATGTAAGAAAAAATGTATTATTTTTTTTTTTATTCAGAGACGCTAGAAGTTGAAATAATGGGAATTATCTTCATACCAGCAGCCCGGTTTGCCAGCAGGTGTAACAAATCTGTCCCCCATAAGAATCCGTGTAAAACTCGAGTGTCTAAAAGCAGTTCTGGAGTGTCTTTTCGACTAAAAGTGTCCCATCTGGTTATTCGGTGCAGTAAATAACGGACGCCATGACCGAGATCTATTTATTATTTAATACGTCACATTATTATCATCACGAGTATGCTTGCGGAGTGCGCTCGTCATTTTTTTCCGAAATGGCTCCTCTCCTCGCCACTGCTATATAATACCCTCTGAAGGATCTCTCGCCTCCGCTGTACCTATACTATAAAATAATATATCGAAAATACTGGCACGTCCCGTCTTGGACCCATCCCCTTCGTGAAGGAATTTTGTGTTATACATTTTTTTTTTGCGCCTTTTACTTTATTTATTACATCCCGTTTTTACCGGCGGCTAATATATTTATCACGCGTTGTGGACGATAGCAAGGTACATATTATAATATAGATATAATGTATTTGGTGAATATCGTGTGGTCAATGGTTGGCAAACGAAAGAAAATTACTTTACGCCTTGCCGGTACATATTGGGGCATCAGGTGCACTCACTTGATGCACCACAATAACGATATTATACCTACCTAAACGTTGAATTTTTTTTTATTCTTCAAAAAAATTATATCTCCACTACTACAATATCCAGATACACTAGATACAGTACTAATGTACGTTTTTTTTTTTTTAAACAAAATAAATAAATAAAAAGCTTAGTCGATCCCGGAGTTTTAGAGATCAGTGAGTGATCGAGTGGTATTTAGTATATATAGATGATATTGAATATAAATATATGAATAATATATAAGTACTAGGCACTAGCTGATCCTGTACGGTCTTGCTCGTGACAATAAAATAATTTATCCAGTCTTAAAACTCCGTCAAATGTAAGCTATACAGAATTTTATTACAGCAATTTGGACGGTATTGACGAATTATTATTAAAATACAGTTCATAATTACTTTTTTATTTTCCGTAACCAATAGCAACCCAATATTATAATCAAAAAGATGTTAGTTTTTCGTGAGTCAATAAATTCCTGTGGGACTTCCTCTTTAAAAAGCGAATTTCACGAAAACCTTTCTTATATGGCACCTATACACACATAGTATTATTTGTACATTCCTTCAAAATCTCAAATGAATAGGTTCAGTAGTTTTGGCTGCACATTGATTACGAATCAGTCAGTCGGGACTTCTCCTTTTGTATGTATAGATATAACTCGTTATATTTTATGTGTGTTGCGAGATTTGTTTGGCGAGAATATAACACGCGATTTCGACCGTGTGTGGAAGAAAGTTTAATAATGGTTTTGATGTAGGTACTTTTATAGTGCGTACAGGGGTATTATAGGTATACAATATTTCAGAAAGCGGGTTTATAAAAACACCATGATATTTTCGTATAAGTATTTGACGCGACCGGAATTAGTTTTTTGAACTTTTTACACGCTCGCCGAGTGAAGTGTTAACAGTCTAACACACGTGTTGCGTCGGGATTAAAAAGCAAATTCATATACGGCGAATAAGCCTTTTCTAGTATTATTAGAACAAGCCCTGCATTCTCTGTTTAAGGACGGTGACCACCGCCAAATTCGCGAAAAATAAAACTATCGATCGTCGCGCGTGTATTCCCGCTGTCCATTGTTTGTGTTTTAACTTTATGCTAAGTCGGATTTCCGGTTATTTATTATCCACAGGTACCACCGTGCAATATATTTTACACGGCGTGCGGGTCTTGTACAAAGAGGGTGCGGGGGATGATGTGCGGCGATATATTATTTTCGGTGCGCCGAAGGTTTTCGGTTTTTTTTTTGACGTCGTTTATCCACACGGCGTAGGTTAAGACGGCGAGACGAAGTACAAAATAATAATGATTACGGTGATTGTGATGGAGTCGGCTTGGAGTGAAGGTTATTCGTAGTATAGCTAGGGATCGATGGAAAGCACAAAGTGAAATGCGTCCTGTATGGTCACGTGGGAATTAAACACGCGCGGGACATAAGTCGGCCAAAAGTAGGTATATATTATATACTATGGGTAAGATCCGTTTCCGCCAAATTAATATTGACTGTTTCTGCCAGAAATTAAATAGGTTCGGTTTCCTTAAAAAAAAGTTTTGGAAACCAATAATTTTAATTTTATGCAGTATATTACATATTATGTGTTAAGAAAAAATATAGAATAATTGATGTAATAGCCCTTTGGTATATGTAAATAGTTGCAAAGACCGTTCGACAATGTACAGTGATACCTATTTCCCTTTCATTTCTTTAAAACCTTATTGAATGACTCTCGTCCACTCTTGTCCTCTGAAAAATCCACCTTGATTTCTGTGGCGTTCCCAGTAGCAAAGAGTAGATAAATCAGATAGGTGGGCAAATTTGACTTATGTTAATGTTTATTATTACATTTTAAAATATTTTAATAAGATCGCGATATGAGATTTATATTTTATTTAAAATACTAATTTGCATATATGACTTATATATATATTTTTATTTTTTTATATTAATTAACCAGTGGCAACTTAGGCCATTGAGTGGTTTTTAACTGTGGGGGAGGGTAGTGTAGGTAAAACACGTGTGTTTGTTAGTTTGGCAGATTTTTTAGTGGGCACCCGTAGGTATTTGCCATGCCCGGTTGGGGATGGCGGCAATTCTTGCCAGAAGAAAAATGCCGCCCTCAGCCGAAGTTTCGAACCGGCGTCGGTGAGCCTCGCAACCGACGCCTTAGTCCGCTCGGCCATTCCGTCCCCCAACTTATATTTGTATGAAATGAACCTAGGTAGGTATACAGATGAGGTACCCAAGGTACCTACTATTATTATAATTACTATAATATTATATTTTGTACTATGAACTAATGACACTTCTTTACTTCTTTACTTCAAGTTTCAACCTAACACTTTACTGTGATATAAAGTGTATTTTTTTTAATTCCAAATTTCATTTATTTATAAAATACATGTCTGCTGTTTACGTTAGTTATGTCACAATTAAAGCATTTTTTTTTGTCTATACGCAAAATATGATATCGTTACATTACATGGTTTTAAAACAATAATATTTTGCAGCCAAGTTATTTCAAAAATATATACATCTTGGCGGAGGCAGCCGATGCTTATCAGGGATTAAGGATCCGGTTTGTTGGCTTAAAAGGGCCATGTCTGTGACATTTATTGCATATCATGTATTAGAATAGCCAATAGGTATATAAGTTGTTATTATAATATAATATTATTTCGTTTATTATTGACTTACGATTTTTTCGTAAATTACGAGCATATGCAGAACCGTATTGCCGTTGGTGTCCTGGTTATTTGGGTCAGCGCCTCTCGCCAACATCAAACGGTAGCTCTCCTCCTGGCCGAGACACGCTGCAAATGACAGTGGATATTCGCCCCAGTACACGTACCTGCGATTTAGAAAACCGTTTATTTTGCACATATTTACGTGTTCGTTGCAGGTGAATTATTGCTTTCGTGTGATTTTGGATTTTAAAACGATGACGATCAAAATCAAAACATGACTTTCATACACAAAAAAACTTAGACGCATACAAATATCTTATATTGAACAATACGTTTTCATATTAATGTGTACTTGGGATTTAGATAATAGAAGAGATATTTTGATAAGGGTGTCGTGTGAAAAATCGTGGTGATTAACTCGCAACCACTCTACACGTCGTTTACCCTTCATAATTTGTGTCGGGACACAGGTTCACCCATTCGTGGTCGAGAGAATCCGATCTAGAAGCCTTTTGATCTTCGGTGCTCATGAAGTTCCCGAAACACCGTTCGTTCAGGTCTGCCCCACTGTCCATCAGTACCTTCACCATGGCCGGATCTTCGTTGACGATGGCCATGTGCAACACGCTCTCTCCTGCATTAAAAATCGGTTTATTAACCACAACTGCAGTGGTTTACAGATTTTGTTCAGTCACGTGGTGGCGAAACATATAGTATAATTAATATCGAAGTATAGTATGTACAGTCAAGTCTCGATACCTAAAATATTAAGTGGAATAAAAATAGATTCCATTTATATGTATTTTTCGAGTTACACACCGCAGAAAAAAAACTTAATATCTAACAATTAAAGGACAAGAAAAAAATTCGAGTACTGTTTCGATACTGTCTTGACTGTATATGAATACACAGGGTCCTCCATGGGTTCAATTGGTTATTACTTTGATACTGATTATACGGAGTGGATTAAGTTGGGTTCGATATTAATGAATAATGAAAAGTACGTTTCACTCCTCACTCCTAAACTATCGATGTTTTTTTATGATTTTTTTGGGGGAATATTATCTTAAACATTCGCTGGCATCAACAACCCTCACAGCTTGTAATATTTGAAGGAAATAATTGAAATTAACGAAGTTGACTAAATTCGGCAGCAGATGCTGGCTATCAAAGTTGCTGCTTTTGGGAGTGCATGCATCAGGCATTTCAGAAAACGGCCAACATTTTCGATACGTGATTCTCCGGACATGTTAAAAATAGTTTTTTATTTTTTTTTATGATAATCTTTATTATGGTAAAAATAATGTTAAACCAAACCAATTACTTTTTTACATTTATAATAGCTGATACGTATACCAACAGATCTGTAAGCTCGTATCTGGTATACGGAGATGTAAGGTATATAATATATGCTTTTACTAAACACGTTCAAAATTTAAAATACATTGTTAAATATTTAAAAATCTGGTGCTCAACAATCCACTCAACTGTGAATATCTTATTTCGATTATCTCTTTAAAATGGATATATTTTTTTAATTTATTAATTACTTTAATTATGATTTTTAATATACCTATTATGCGTAAAGTCATTTGGAACGTTGCCGAATTAATTTTAATGACTATATAATACATATAGAAGTATAGAACAGACAAAACTCGAAAATCAATATCACCAAAGTTTTAGACGCAATAGAATTCTTATAGACATAAAATCTATTCATTTTTATTTTTAAGGATTCAAATTATTTCGATCGTCCGATAATAACTCACCGTAATACTCGTCAATCATGTAAATGTCATTTACGAGCTTTGGATAGAAATGCAACAGCCTTTTGGCCAAGTCTGCGTGTATAGACGTAGCGTTCAGCAAACATAGATGTAACGCCGTTTCGCCGACGGTGCCCCTTTCCTTCAGATCCCAGCACACTTCCCGGTACTGCACTTCCCCTGCGAGCGAAAAGTTTCCGAAAAGTTTTTTGAGGAATACGAAAAGAGCCACAGCCGCGCCACGGTGCACTTACCCAGCTTTTCCAGTTCTTCGATGGTGGGAATGTCTTTTTCGATGTCGTAATCATTGGCGTCTTCCATGTTCTTTAGCGGCGGAAGCTGTGTACAGTGGCAAACAAATCGCATTAGTAACAGATATTATTGAGGGCAGAGTTTATGAGATCTCCGACGAATCCCAGTGGGGAGATACGTTCGGCGGCGGGATTAATATTCAACTGGGAAAATAAAGAAAAATCAAATTGACTCGGTTATCGCCAGCCAAATGCGTTTACGTGGAAGACCCACTGCAATCATATTACGGTTAACTTATTTGAAAAGTTTCGACTGAAACAGCTTAGAAATGGAACAAACGAGTCCGAAAAGTACAAATTCCGGCAGACGCGTATTGTCTATTACATCGGTAAAATAATACGATACCTGCAATACTATACCTCCTTGTATTTCGATTTTGAATAATTTCAAAAATAAAACAGATGTACCTAATCAACTAGATTTGTCCATACAATTTTTTCAACATTGTTGTCTATTTTAATATTGAAAAATCGAGTACAATAATATATAGTACAATTATTTAGATTGAGATAGTCACCGAGGTTTGTTTTTTTATTTTTGTAAACTTTTTAATATAAAATGATCACACGTATTCGCGATAAAATATGTTTGTCAGGCATGGTCGATGATATTAATAATGTAAAGTCATTATCACTATCATGGTGTGGTTCCATTTCAGTGTAGATACCCAAAAGGCAAAGCCATATTTACATAGAAAAAAGGTACTGAATTCTATATTGACATTGTTTTACATAATCAGAGAACTTTTTGTACATAATATAAACCAAACTGTGTGCGTATTACCTTTGAAACGTAATAGTGTAATGTAATAATGTGGCTTGGCGTCCAATTAAAAATGATTATAATAATATACTGAACACAAATTAATTTTGTCACTTAGGTACGCTTGGAAACGGAGACTGACGATTGAATTTTGTTTGATTTTAAGTTGCCGTGTTATTCGACATAATATTATAATTATTAGTTTGTAATGTTTGTATATTTTATATTCATCACGAGTCGTATAACCAGCTATTGAACGATTGAGAACATTGTACCTTTTTGGCCGAACGATTGAGAACACTTAAAATTAACAAAGAACTTACCGCTGACCCGAAAAGTACCCAAAAAATAATACGATTGAGAACGAATTTACTTGCGACGTTGTCATATCATTTATTTGGCTATTGAAAGATTCAGCCCGTATGCATAAAATAAATATTTTTGAAAAAAGTTATCAATTAATAATTATAACCTTATACAAATACAATGGCACCTAATAATAAGTAATACAAATATATGAATAAAAAATGTAATATAAAATGTATAACTTATAAAAATATATGTAATACACAAAACGGTTTTATAAACATGCTCACCTCCATTTATCCCTTTAATATTACTTTTATTCAAATTCTGATTTTATAAGTATACCTGAAGACCATATTTTCAAATTCCTAACCATTTTGTACTACTCAAGGAATGTCCTGTGGCGATACAAACTTACATTTTTTAAATAAAAATCTCCCTTTTTTACTGTAAATTATTTTGCGGGTGATTCTCTTGAAAATGTTGAAGTATCTAAATCAAGATTCTAATAAGTAGTTTCTGTGTTATTAAAATATTTATACCAAGGATATTAATCCTTAAATATGGTTTTACAAAAATATAAACTATATGTACTTAATATTATATGTACCTAGGTAGTATTTGTTATACTTCAATAATTTTTACAAATTATTTATACTGGTAGATTATTAGTAATTACTAACATTTTCAGATCATCTAAGCCCCCAAATCTACTTAACCTAGGGCATAAAAATATAAATCATTCTTAGTACCTTGACTCTAACTATCGCAGATATTTTCAATATTGTTTCTGATCGAGTTTCAATTAGAATTTTAATAACAACATAATATATTTCTGGATTATTTCAATAGGTATTAACCATTATGGTGCTCAAATTATCATTCGATTAAATTTGGTAACGTTGGAAAAAAAATAAAATGTCGAGCTTTCTCAATCGTGTTACCAAAAATGCCGTTCTCAATCTTACCATTATCTGCAATGTTACCGTTTTAAATCGTATTTTACCGATATAACCCAGCCAAACGGTAATTAAAATTTCGGGAATTCGGTAATATTTTGACATCCATCCAGTTCTATCGTGGCATCGTCGTGACCACATCGCATTAAATTAAAATAATAATATATAATATACATCTTTTGGGTTGTGATGGACGTCTGAAGACGAGGTCATCCGTGAAGTATTATTGGTAATATTATATTGGAATTATATCTGCCAGGTGGTTGGTGTTCAATGGCGGTCTATATACCCAATGACCATGCAATAAATATGTGATTATTAATATGGTCCATGCTACATGCAATGTCATTACTGTGAACGGTATAGGCTATTGTTTCTATTTTACATATGAAAAATAACGTCTGCCGTTAATTTATTATTTATGGCACGCTTTTTAAAATTCGAACGAAATATAAATTACGTTTACTTTATTCATCGACAGTGACGCTTTTAATGGCGCATGTCTTTTCTTTCAATCTCGTGTTTTAATTTGTTATTCCATTCAGCAGTGTAAATTAGCATTCGGAAGTCGATTAATTTGTCGGAGGAGATAAATAAATAAATAATAAAAAAAAAACAGCAGAAGAACAAACAAAGAACGTTTACGCGGTATTTTATTTTTTTGTATACACGTGTTGTATAACAATAATATTATTATTGTACGGGACACAAATAATATATTATACGCTTGCCGCGCACAACACACCGACTGTGTTTCCGAGCGACAGCAGCAGCTGAAACTTTCGCTGTGATGTCAAACAGATAATTGAAATAATTATTATTACGAACCAAAATTTCGTGAACTGCTTTCAACTCAATTAAATTCGTAATTTTCCAATTAAGTAACGGTATTGTGTTTGTCGTGTAAAACACACACATTTTAATCGTAAATAATAATGTGCCATCGTCGTCGCGTATTCTCGATACGAGGACACACACACACACACACACACACACACACACACACACTTTGGCTCGTTTGTCTACCATAATATTGTGTTACTGTACATGTGCGGAATATCGTTTAAGCTCGTCACAGGTGAGAGGAATAACTTTTTCCCTTCGCCTTTGCACATATAACACTATATATAGGCATAATAATAAATGCACAATATATTATAATAGTGCGCCGCCGTTGATTCGACGCATTTCCGAGCATATATAACATTATTACGCACTACATTTCGCAAAGCGGCGAAACGTCCTCGAACGACGACTCGTACAAATAATATGCGTATGATATCGAATATTATTACGTTGTACGCCAGCGAATTTATGTGCGCGAATGTGTAATATTATGCATGTGTTTACCTATTATTATTATTATTATTATTATACTCCGACCTTAATATTATATACATATTAAATAACCGAATCGTCGGGAGTTTCACACCGATAGCAATATTTAAACGGCGCTTCCGACGCTTTCCACGCAGACAACGGCGGCGGTATTATAATTATTTTATTGTTCATTGTCGAGCGCCATGCGCTACACTGCACGTGGAAACAACGAACGCGTTCAATATCGTACGTAATATTAACAATATGTAAATATCATATGAACACATTCGACGAGTGTCGCATTGTCTGTGATATTATGTGAGTGTATAATATATGTTATAAGTGTACGGGACGACAACGCGAAGGAGTGAACTCGCGGGGACAAACTATATGTACATCTATAATAGAACTTCGGAAGTATATTATGTGGATGATCTTCTAATACTGCGAAAGTCCACAGAGCCACAAAATAAACTAGATAGTCACAGTGTAGTTTAGTCGTCGGCTGGTATAGAGCCATCAGAAAAATAGGTTTACTCGTCGACAAGGAAGAAGACAAAATAATAAAGAGACAGAACAACCTCGAGAAAAAGCTCCTCTTTAAGTATAGGTCAATATATATATACGATACACACATATATATATATATATATATATATAAGTAGTAGTAGTATATATTATATATTATTATATCGATATCGATATAGCGGATCAGTTAGAGTACCTGTCGAGACTATTCTAACAGAAAACTGCAACAAAACGGCGTAGAAAATAGTAACGAAAATACAGACTGGAAACACTAACGATTCTTAAGACCAGCGAAGATTTTATAGGATCTCGATTCCAGTCAAGGGGTTTTCAGAGAAGCAATCAGAAACAAACGACTACAGACTACAATCACGGATAGGGCAAGACTAGAGAAACCAAAAACAGTACTGGAAAAGAACCCGACTGGAAAATGTTCGCATTTTATGATCGATAATGAGCTGGCGAGTTGATGTAGTCAAGAAAGTTGTGAAAAATCTATGAGAAAGATTGGAAAGCGAGAGAAGCTGGGGTGAATGGAAGGCTGGATGTATGACGAGATGGTCCTGGAGACCAGTATAATTAACACTACGTTTTATCGTTGCGTTATTGGTTATATTATTTTTATCATTAATACTTATTTTACTATTACAATCGGTAGACTTATAGTCATAAAATATTGTTATAATTTAAATCCTACGCTATTGGGATGTACACTTAAAATTATTTTTGGTGATTGTAGATGGTAGACATAATTATAATATGTACAAATACCGCATACTATATATATTACTATTTAACCACAAAGCACGAAATTATTAGCTGATTAATTAATATGTCTGTACGCAGAAATTACATGGAAGTCCAACTGACATTTGGGGGAGGGATTCCCGAGTGGCACCGTACCTCTAATTGTTGCGTAACTTCAGGCACAAGGTAAAGGGTTAGTAGTAAAGGGTTGGTGTTATACTCGTCAGCTATTAACGGAAGAATATAATAATGATATCGATGCGTTAGAGGTGAATTGTACAATATTAAGTGCAACTCGGCACGAGGCAAAAAAACTCTATGATTAAAGTTTATAAGGGTTATACCTATAATGTTATATATTTATAAATAACTAAAAATTCACTAATCTCATTAAATATGCATTTGCTGAATTTTGCACCAACCATATATGCA